GCTGGAGAGGGGCAAGGGATACAGAGGGATTGAAAACCCCGTTTCAAGTTTTGAAGCCTCAGGAATGGTAATAGCACTGACAAAAATGGAAGACACTTGGAGAGCAAGCTGGTTTTTGAGAGGTGGTAATGAAATCTATAATTTTGTATATGTTAAATATCTATCAGTGGAATATTTACTAGCAAATCAAGGAAAATATTCATAGCACAGTTAGAGGAGAGCATTAACATAGCAGAGAAGGAGCTTACAGAAAGTCAATGACATAGAACATTACAGAATGTTATAGGATCCAAAAAGGGCCCTGTGAGTACTTGTCTGGGTTAGCGTGTATACACAGTGGCATGCTACATGTATTTTCTTACTGGTCTATATAGGGACTGGGTGGCCACGCATGTGAGAACACTAGAATTATTTTACTAGAACTAAATGAGTTAATACTTAGAAAAGTGCTTGACACAGAAGCAGCACTCAAGTCCTACTTGATGATCATTATCTTATTATGATTTGGCTTTTGGTAAGGTGGAGTCTTTTTCAACTCTTACCCTCTTGTCAGAAGATCCTAGGGCTTTATCTGCCCATAATCTTGGGGAAGCTATGACAATCTCTGTCCTCTCTGGTAAAGGGTCAGAATAAGATTTCAATCTAGGAATCATTTGTACGGGAGAAGTGGTAGCTGAAGCTCTAAAACCAGCTGCACTGTTAAGGAAGAAAATGTCGCGGGAGGACCAAGAGCCTGGAACGAGTACAGAAGGTGCTCACGCCTGGGAGCATGGGGACGAGGAAACAGACAGCACGTGCCTTGGGCAGAGAAGTGGAGGAGGCTATGGGGCAAGGAACCCACGGATGCTGGAGAAGGAAAGGGGCTGCTACAATGGCCTCGTTTATAGGGTTGAAAGATGACCTCTGACCCAGCTCCTGGGTGTGACCAGGAGAGGTACCTTGATAATGAAGTTAGGCTTCGGTGGTCCAGAGAGAGTGTGATAAAAGCGAGCGATTGCTTTGGATAATTTATTTGAAAGATAACAGGTTAAATGCCTAGACAGAGTGTTAGCCACATTCTCAGACTGCAGATTAGGATAAAAGGATAAGTACAAGTAGTGTTCAGGAACCTTCTATAAATACACACAGATTTTCCTGTGTTTTAGACAATCCTCCTAAACCCCACTCTCCCTCACATCCTCTGGTAGAGAGTTCAGACCCAGAGTCAGATTTAAAGGAACTGAGGGGCCCTAATATCTTCCCCATTTCCTGCCAATAGGGAGAAATAAAAACCTGTTTTGCTCTCAAGCTGCACTGCGCAATATGATAGCCACTAACCACACGTGGCTATTTAAATTTAATTATAATAAAATGAAGTTTTAGTTCCTTAGTTACACTGGCTACATTTCAAGTGTTCAATAGCCTCAGGTGGCCAGTAGCCACTGAACTCAGCAGCACAGGTAGAGAACATCTCCACCTCTGTAGAAAGTTCTACTGGACACGAATGATCTATAGTCTTAGTGGTATTTCACCTCCTCTTCTATCTCGGCCATGCTCAGCTCCCTCCACCTTCCAAAAAGTTCAATTTCCAGCCTATAACTGCACATACTTCCTTCAACCTCCAAGCACACAAACATACCTTCTGTTCTTTCCACTCAGTGTTAAGTGAGTCCTAACAGAGGGGAAGGCACCTTTGCTGAGCTCAGAAATTGTAGCACAGTCCTGCTTGCCACCCTCCAAACTGATAACAGGCTCCACTAGCAAAACTCCCGGAGTTTCTACCTCCCTTAGCTTCATCCTCTTCTCTCCACCAGTCCACCTCCCAGTCTCTGCCCAGGACAATTTATCCTTTCTTGTGCTTCCTAGTGACAAACAAGCAGTTGCCAGATGCCTCCATTCCTAGAGAAGTTTGTCAGACATGCTGGGGCAATATCCCTGGTTGACGGGAAGCGGAGGATAATAAAGCTGGAAAGGACCCTAACCCTCTCCTAAGTCAACCTCTGATCTGACAGATGTGACTGTGGGTTACTCTGTTCCTTAAATGACAGGAAGCAGTCCTGGGTGGGAGGTAAAAGTTAAAAAGCACACTATCTCCAAGATACAGGAGTTTCCAAGACAAAGCCAGGGGTTTCCGACTGATCTGCATTCCTGGGACTGCTCCTGCACTTGTCTGCCTTGGCTGATGCTTCATGCCCTTTCTGAGAAAGCATTCCTTTTACGGAAAACGCAGTGAACTGTGCCCATGGATTTCCTTCCATGTAGAGGGCAAATGGGCAGGCACTGGACATGGTCCCCAGTGAGACAACGGACTCTTCCCAGCGACACCTCTACCCAAGGGAAGCTGCCCCTGACCCTCCTTTCTGAGCTCCCTTCTTTGGCCATCCTTCCTCTTATCACTGTTCTGGTTTGATCACTTCCTATGAGAGGCACAAAATATGACATGTTTCAATTTTCATAAAAAATAGCAAATAACTGTCAAAATTTCTTGAGGGGGAAAAATTCCCCAATGAGTTGGAGGTAGGGAAACCCTCACATGGGAACTCTAGAAAATCTGCAGACAGATGATCCTCTAGCACAAATTTCTCAGTCCGGCTTCCCTCTTCTCTGGCGAGGGGCTCAACCTCTGCTCAACACAAAACCAAATCTCTGACTTAACAAACCTCAGACAACCCCAGTGACCCCGGCTGTAATGGAGGCAGTGACAGAGTGGCAACTGCAGTCTAAAGAGACATGCATTCTCCTCTGTTCCACCCCAACCGACCCCAAGTGACTCTCTCTGTATTAGACAAAGCTGAGAATCAAAGGAAGAAATTCCCAACTCCTTTACTTCATCCAAAGACCACTGGGATGAAGAGAATTGTCTGGCAAGTTCTCAGCATGGAAGTCAAAGGAACATCTTTCAACTCTTGCCTAGGCTCCCTGAGTCCCAATCCCACTCCCCTCATTAGCCTTTCTAATCAGTTGCTAGGCAGCTCCTTTCCACTACTAGCGACTTGGGAGAAAGGTCTTGTTTAAGCAGCCAGGGGGCCAGCCAACTCAGAAGCAGCAACATGTCCTAAAATGGTCAAAGAAAACTCCACAGGTCTGGCTGGAGCTCAGCTCCTCAGGGAAGGGGGTAGGACTCAGGGAGGATGATTTCCCCATCACCCCGCCCCAAACCTCAAGCTCAAGATTAACCCCCTTTCTGCTGACTACTTACCATTCCACAGGACCTCCAGTGAGCTAGGGGACAGAGGGATAGCCTTGTTCTCTTTTAACATGGGGCTGACGTAGGAAGCTAAGTATGGAACAGATGTCCAGATCTGTCAAAGGAAAGGGGGGGATGGTAGATGAACAAACAAGACTGAACACACACACACACACACACACTCACGTTCTCGTTCTCTCTCTCATCAACTTGATCTTTAGAGCCCAGCTCTATTTTTCTTTTCCTCATTACCTTACTTTCTACTCCTGAGGCTCCTGCTGACACCCTGGAGTGCTCCTTATGGCACCGAATCAAACAGCCGAAGGAAATGGCTGTGTCCAGGGTGGAAGATGAGAACCAGAGCACTCTGAGAGTCCCAAGCAATACTCAGGTTCCATTTACTCTTTACAAATTGTTTTGAAACTTCAATTATAGTGATGGGCCTGTTTCTTCATTTGTGAAATGGGTATCAGTTGGGATGAGGGTAAATGAATGAATGAACATTTACTAAACACTTATAACATGCCAAGCAATGGCTTAAGGCATTTAGACCTTGGTCCCATACGGGGTTCCCTGCCCTGTCAACACCTGTTCACCTTGGCTGCATTAACGAGTCTCCAAGCATTGAGCAGGCCAAATCCATGCTGGTGGCTGTGGCTGAAGCCTGCCTCGTTGGTAATCCAATCCGCACGGCGATCCTTGTACTGAGAGGACAGAAGTCCCATTTAGTCTCTTGGACTTCCAAAGTAATCTCGACAACCCACCTCTGGCTTCCCTGCTCATCCTGCTGGCTGATCCAATCCAGACTCTCCCACTAAGGCCACTGGGAATGGATTCCCCAAGGAAAGCTGGGACAAAAGGTCAAAGCACCATGATGTCACCACCCCAATGGACTGCTTCTAGACAGGGAACCACGAGTCAGAGGCTCCAAAGAGAGGGAGCCCAACTAGAGCCCTCCTTTGCAGGTAAAACGGCATCAGCAGAGAAGGTACAAATGAGTTGAGGTCTGTGGTCTTGATGGGGTCCCCACCCATTCTAAGCACATGCAACACTGAAAGCGCTTTGGCACCTAATGTCTGGGACATTTAGAGACTGAAGCCTCCTGATATCTTTAAGTCCTTGGAATCAGAACTCTGGGGAGGGCTGGGCCAGATCATCTGTCTGCCTTCGAAGATCTCACCTGGGTGGCTGTGAAGACAATGATGTGCTGGATGTCACGCCACGTGAGGCAGGGCCGTACCTGCAGCATGAGGGCTATCATGCCAGCTGCCAGAGGGGCTGCAGCTGAGGTCCCTGTGTGGCCTTCAGTGCAGCCTGTGCCCTTCTGAAGGTCCCAGTCAGTGGTCACCTGGGAAGTGGAACAGAGAGGAGGGGGACTGGGTTAGAGAATGTGCTGTGGAGGGTGGGGTACACACTGGTCCTCAGAAAAAGCCTCCCAGTTGGGCCCTTCCTTTGTGAGAGCTGAATCCTTGACCAGAGAAAGGCCCACTAGCCAGTCAGGACAAGAGAGATCCTGAATCCTTCAAAGCCTCACAAGAGAATTTTTGGAGAGCTGAGAAAGAAGAATACAAATTAAAGAGTTACTCATGAGAGTCTGGTTATGGGGGAAGGATTCAGACAGGGCCCTCTCAGCTAATCCCTTTGTGGCTCCAGGAAGCCACAGGAGGAATGGGAGAGGCCTATATGCAGAGGACAGTTTCCTGGTTCCCATTGCTCTAATCACCCATTCCCAAATTCTCCACCCTAACCTCCACTCCCAATGCTCCAGACCCTGAAACCATGCTAGACAGGGGAAGTGGCTAGAGAGCTGGAGCTGGGACAACGGTGACGGCACCATTCAAGGAAATCCAACTTGGCAGCTCAGTGATAAGGAGCTGGAGTGACATCAGTGCAGACAAAGAGTGTTCCCAGCAAGAGGGAACTGTCCCCTTGCCCACCCCGTGGGTTTAGTGTCTACACTGGGTTTATTGTCTACACTGCCTGCCCGCCCTGGCCTGGGATAATCGACAGCATGAGCTGCCTCACTGTTCTGGGCCTGGTACCTCAGTGCGGTTTCTATGAGTCCCCCCTTCTCTATGTGTGGCTCTGAGTGCGAGCTGAAAGTGGGGGTAGGAAAGAGGAAGCTGCCTGTGGGGGAGAGATGGCATCTGTCTGGCATCGGTTTCTTTTCATGCTCTAGTCAACTCTGGCGCTACAAAGGTTTTGGCTGAGAAGGGCCCTGCCCAAATCTGCTCCTCGATGTGGCACTTTAGATGTAGCACATGGTGCCAATGTTAAGACCGGCGAACTTTTTTTCTTCCAAACTTCTCTTCTGGGTGAGATACCAGGGTCCTAACTTCTGCCAAGGCTGCCCTTTCTTCACTGTACTCACAGCTTCCCTCCTAGCTGTTACAGTAGCTGCCAACAGATATAATTTTCAGACTCTGTGTACTCCCAGAAGAAAAGGGAAAAAAACTCTCCAAGTTGTAGTCTCAATGAGAGTGGGAAGCCTGGTCTGTGCCAGGGAACAGACTGATTTTTTCCTGTTAAGGAAACGGCCTCACAATGATAGTTTAGTGTGTAGCTGTGAGGCCTGTGAACTTGCCGATGGTGGCAGGAGCCCCATGCAGCCACAGCGAAGTCCAGGGAAGTGCCCCTGGCAGCCAAATAGTGGGCGGCATGTGCTTCCATTCCCTGCCCTCTGCCGAGCTGATCACTGATCAGAAACTGGAAACAGGAGGTTTTCAAGGCAAAGACATCCCAAAGATGGGAACTTGGCAAAATAAAACTTTTCATTTCTGGACAAGTTACAGTTCCGATGAAAGGTGGTAGTAGGGGCAAGAAGAGTTGAGTTAGGAAAAAAGCTAGGTCCCTCAAAGCAAAACTGACAACTGGGGCGCCCTGATGGTCCCCGGGTGGGGCCAGGATGGGCAGGTTCCTGAGAGTTCTGGCAGGGTGTGTGGAGTACTGTATGTTTCAGCTCTTCCTCCTAGCCCAGTATAGCCTGGCAGGGGTGGTGGGGAAAGTGCCCTCTGCAGCCGACCCTCGCCTACTGAGTAAAGCCTGTCTTGCTTTTTACTTTAATCCACTCTCTTTTCTCTTCTCCCTGGGGTGGGGGTCGGAGGCTAGGGATCAACTGGCACAGAGCCTTGGAACACTGTGTTGACCAGAAGTCATTTACTGGCAAAACAAAATTTCAGTTTTGGAAAATGAATTTGATACAGTAGGAGACAAAGCAGCCTAATTCTCAATGGTCCCAGAGAGACCTCCTAAACCCAGCCACTGAAGAAATCTGACGCCACCTGGCTCTAGCCCGGCTCCTGCCTGGAGCCCCATCTCCATATTACATGACTATGAGCAGCGGGGACCCAGGCAGGTACCTCTCCAGTGATGGCCCAGAAACCTGGCTTGAAGCTGCTGGGATGGAGCTGAGCCAGCTGGGTGTGGGCACTGGACCCTGAATTCTTTACAAGGTTCCCATAGCTTGAGGAGCTCCATTCCTTTGATCTAACCTCATGTTTGTGATGGCCCCAATTCTAGCTCCAAGGAAAGAGCTGTCTCTTGGGCCGACAGAGACATTCCTCTGATTCCTTATCCCACTCATCCCATAAAGACAACCATGAGCTTTACTCCTGATAATGAACATGACCAAAACTCATAGTACTTACGTAAGGGCTGAACAGCAATGCGATGATGATTTTTTTAATCCCATAGAAATTAGCCAAAGCCCAAATTCTACCAAAGGAAGATATTTCCAAGAAGTTCTTTAATCAATGTGACACTTAATAGTTCCTCTAACAATATATAAATTTGCAAGTTAACATTTTAAAATAACAACTATTTTTAGGTTTATTTAGAGTCCTCAGCTCTGTTCTTCCAACGGTGGAACACCCTTAGAGATACAGCTCTGCTAGGGAAGAGGAACCTCAGTGACAGGACAGGGAGGCAGAGAACAAAAAGAAAGAGAGAAGTATTGTGGGCAGGGCCAGGAGTGGAGGGCCTGGGGAGGCACTCACAATACTCCGGAGCATCTTGTCGCCGCCACTGAAGGTGACTGCCAGCATGGAGGCACACTCCTCTGCATAAGAAGGCATCCGTCCCTCTTCATCTACAGCACCTAGGGACAGAGTATGGGACACGAGAGCTGGGATCAGGGTCTGAGAATATCAAAGTTATTTTGAGTTATCAGCTGAGGGGCTGTCCTGAGCTTAAAAAATGATTTCAGTGGCTCAAGTGCCTCAGACTGCCCGCACTCCTTACCCGAACAGGCAATCTCAAGTGGCAGAGGGTATTCTGTGCCCTAACACCATTCTTTCAATAGGCTCGCTTCAGGGTAAAACTAGGAGCATTCTACTTCTATCCACTCAGACATTAATGTTCCTCAGCATTTATTAATTATCTACTGTGAGTCACGTACTGTGCGTGCCACTAGGGCCTTATGGTAAAGACCAGTACTGAGCTCAAGGAGTCTATTGTCAGAGAGAAAGTTGCGTAAGTAAATAAATAGAACTAGGATGGCAAATGCTATGGTAGGGAGCACAGGTAAAGGGCATTTAATTTAGGCTAGTTAAGGGGAGTGGGTTCAGGGAAGGCTTCAAGCAGAAGGCAAGTGGCTCAGGGGAAGAGGGGCTGGAGCAGAGGCCTAACCAGTTGTAGCAGGTAGAGGTGGGGTGGGGTATGTCCAGATGCTGGCTTGAAAATGTTCCCAGGACATGGTGACTTCTAAGGAAGTCCTGAGGTCCTCTGAGAGCAGGGCTAGTCCCTCCTATCTGAGCCTGAAGAGAAGATTGTGCTCACACTGAGTGACACACACACAATAAGATAAAGTCTCCTTGTCACTGAGTGACACACATACCAAGATACAGTCTCCTCACCAGTGAGTCAGTCTCTCTCTATCTCTCGCACGCACGCGCATGTATGCGTGTGCGCTCACACACTAGGAACCTCAAGGTCACTACCTATGGTGACTGTGTAGATAGAATTGGTGTAGCCGTCGTAGTTGCAGTTGTCGTTGTGCTGGCCCCCATTGCCACTGGCTACCACAAAGATGCTCCCAAAGCCCTGGCGGCCGGCGATCACCCCATGTTGCAAGGCAGCCTGAGGAGAAAAACACCAAGAGATCAGCCGAGAAACTCACAGAAAGACCTCTACCTTCCACGCCAGTCGCCAGGAAGCTGTTTTAAGCTGAGCAACTGTCTGATGGATGTACTCTGCTTATCAGAGGGGTGGGGCCAGAAATGGGAAGCCAAGCACAAAATCAAATGGAAATGATTTCAGAGCACTGTTTCATTTCTCTCTCTCAGAATTTGTGCCCCACCCCCCACCCCCCAGTTAAGAGTGCTCTTCCTAAAAGGAGGTGGCGAGGCTAGATGGCACAAGACTGACACTGCAAATGGGAGTGGGGTAGGAGAGGGAGCAACTTGTAGTATTCTTCTAGGAACTGAATGAGGAGGGTGTCTTGTGTCTGCTAAAGTCTTCATGCAATTCATAGTTACCTTTCCAAGCTGATGGGGGCCATCTACCGTCTTCCCATCATCATCCGGTCCCCAGCTGTTGAGAAATACCCAGAGGGAAGAGCCAGAGCCAGGCATAGCTGCCCATCCAGGCCCCACAGTCTCAGCTAGCCACCCCTCTGCCTGGGCTCTTATTCTCCTCCCAAGGGTTCCCATATAGGAGCATTAAGGGGCATAGGGGTCAAAGGTCCAGGCCCACTCCAAAGTGGAAAACAGAAGTACGTGCTAAAGTTCTTTTCTTTGGAAACTTTCCCAATTTAGGACTACTTCAACCTGCTCCTCGTAAAAATCCTTTCTCAGGTCCCAGGGAGCAGGATCAGGACACAGTTGTAGAGAGGAACAGGGGGCCATCTTCTCTTGATCAGGGATCTATCACTAGGCTTGATGGAGAAGCGCCCACAAAGGAAGTATTCAATCTGTGTAAGTGCTTAGGTCTAAGGAGTTCTCTATTCTTTGTCTAAGAGGACATGTACATTGTGGTGTTGTCATGGATTTAAGGGAGGTACTGGTTACGGGGAAGAACAGGTGTCATCAGTGCCATAGAGGCAGCCTAATCTTAGTTCCTCTTTAATCCCACCCCACTCTCCTGCCATAACCATAACCTGAAGTGGCAGGTGCATTTATGTGTACAGGGTAGAGAGGACTGATGCTAGGTGTTTAGCTTAGCTGTAGTTGGAGAGGGAAGCCCACTTTCTCCCAGGAGTCTTATGAGTTTATTAAACAAATAAACATGGGGCAGGCTGGAGTACTCCTCATGTGACAACCTGATTACTGGGGTGACACCAGGCTTAAAGACTGAGAACCCTTTGGCTGGAGATCTAGAGAAATGAGGGCAAGGATTTTAGGCTGGGACCTGTCTGCGTCAGCTCATTCTGCTGTTCTTTTGTTGGAGAATTCATCCTAGGTGCCTGAGCCTCTTACCCTATCACCTGTTCCTGGCTCTGCCTCACCTGCAACTGTAGATGTCATTGATCTGATAGTGCTTGTTGAATGCCACAGCCTCCATGCTGTCTGTGAGGGGTCCATCTAGTAACCGGATACCTAGGTGGTAAAGGCCACATTAGCTCCTCAGTAATGCTCATCTCCTAGATGAGAAACTGGGTGGTGGAGAACCTCACGTGGAGACTTACTTTCTTTCTAAGTGCTCTTGTTTTTTATACCAGGCATATGTACCTGCCAGAAATATTTTTTAATGTAATGCTAAATCTTAGACTTTAAGGATCAATTGGGTCTGGTGGGAAGAGGCATAGGCTGAAATGTAGATAACCAAGTTTGCCTTCTTATTTGCATCTTTAATCAAGTAAAACAGCATTGTGGTGCTTGATACATAGAAGGTACTCAATAAATGGTACTCATTGCCATTAACTACTCCCATGGATGCCTAACTTCACCCTCTAAAGTGGGTGACATCCTGGTGACTCCGTAGGGACCACTGGAGCTTTCAGAAGGGACTTGAGCTCTGAAGGTTTTTGGCTGCTTCTGTAGCCTCATTTACAGAGAGGGCTACTGCCCTCTGCTGGAGTGTAAGAGGAATACAGCCAATCTATTCAGTTGGTGGGTTCCAAGCATTTATGAGGAATCATGGTGAGGGCTTCCTCATTTATTCTTCTCACCTTCTGCCTTGAAGACTGAGAGGTGAAGGAGTCCTAGAACAACCCTCAGTGGGGGCCAGGGCTGCTCAGTTCTCTTGAAAAAATGGAGAGCTGGGAGACGGGAGAGACATCTCCACAGACATGTAGGGTCAAGGAGGAAGGGCAGATGAGAAGGCATTTGGCAAACCGAAAATAAAGACAACACAGATAAATCAAGAAGGCCTCACAGATAGGCATAACCAAGATCGGAAAAAGGGAAGGAGAGACTGAGCAGGTGGGGCTTGGGGCCTCTTTCCTACATCAGAGCATTCTCACTTTTATCTGTTTTATATGGTGGGATTTCTGCTAAAAGTATGTCTGAAACACCACTGCACTGAAAAAAAGTCAATGGACTGATTTGTCCCACAGACAGCTATTATGAGCTTACCCTTTGTTCTATGCTGTGTTCGTGTTGAGGGTAGGATAAAGACAGTTCGGAATTCAGGGGATGGGGGCAGGGAATGAAGACCGCCATCACAGGAGAAACCTACCGAGTTTAGACTGGAAGGTACCTGCTATGCGGCTCCCATAGGCCACTCCCACTGCACAGAAGCTGTTGTTGGGCACTGCAGCAATCTCTCCCGCACATCGTGTGCCATGGTGGTTGCCATTCTCCACATCCGGGTGGGGCATGGGGTCAGGGTCATTGGAGTTCAGGTCGTAGCTGCCCTCAGGGCTCTGAAACATTGGGTGGGGGGCAATAGGTGGTCACTCACTGGTTATAAGAGGTCAGGTCTTGGAGCTGAGAGAGAGAGGGAAACTGTGAGTCAGGGGCTCTGAACCAGGGCAGCAGAACCATCTCTCTCTGCAAACCACACAGATTACAAGATATGAGGACAGGACACATTGGAGCAAAACTGAGAAGTGCTACAGCTCTCAGCAAACTTTTCTCTTGTCTGTTATAGAAATGTACCCAAGAGACTACTCCATGACTTGGGAAACCTGGGATAAAAAGGGTTTAGGGCCAAAGGCCAGGCTTCTGAGAGAGGAATGTGCTCAGAACTTGTATGCACAGGGAAGTTGCCTACAGGGGCCACTTCTTACTCTCCACCAGGGAGTGAAGATAGGAACCAGAAAGTATCCCTGGGGATCCTCTCCCCTGCTGAGGGTAAAGCTACTCCCTGTGTCTTAACTGCCAGTGTGGAAAGCTGGTTGGGGAAGAAGATGAAAAACACCATTCCACCTCCCAGGCCCTTTGGTTTGGCCCAGTGACCTCTAAGAAAAGGGATAATAAGCCTGAAGGAGGTAAGACACGGGGGTGGGAGGGGTAGTTCTGGGGCCACTCACATAGTTGGGTGCAATGTCCTGGATGGTGTGTTCCACTCCATCATCAACTACCACCACAGTCACCCCTCGCCCAGTTACATTGCGTTCCCATACGCCTGTCACATTGATGTCCCTGCCGGGGCTCCGCTGGTTCTTCTATAGGACAAACAGGGTGAGGAACTGTTTCAAAGCCTTAGGAATCCAATGACACATAGCATAGCCCACAGAGATACAAGTTATAGCTAGCAGTCCCTTTCACTCTTGGTAGCCATCAAAGAGCCAGACAGAGGTTGTGGACCAAGGTGTCCAGGAAAGCTTGGCAGCATTCATGGGCAATAAAGATGAAATGGTGACTACGGTGAAAGATGGATGATAAAATTATTATACCATCTAATATATATTATATTAACATTACACAATATAATGTTAGTAGTTAACACTTATAGAGTTTACCATGTTTTGGGCACACATATGTAAATTAATGTGTCCTAACTACCTCTACAAGGTAGGTACCATTACAATCGCCATTTCACAGAGAAGGAAACTGAAGCACAGAGAGGTTAAGCAGCTTGCCCCAAAGCACACACTATTAAGTGGCAGAGCTAAAATCTGAGCCCAGGCAGCCTAGCCCCAGCACCCACATCTTAACCGCTGCAGCCCACTAGCTCTTTAGAAGTGAACACAGGAAAGGTGGATCACGAGGAAGAATGCCACAGAAGTCTACAGAAATCTCTCTTCAGGAAAAGGATGAGGACAACTGAAAAGTAATATAGCCAAAAGCCTATTAAAGAAGTGGATATTCAGAATCTATCCATCTGAAGCTGAAAACTACAGGGCCGTACTTACCAGGTGCCACTGCTGTGGGTACTTGGGGTCATTGAAGTGGACACTGCGCTTGGCTCGCTTTAGCAGCTTCTGCTCTGAATGCCAGCGCACAGCTTCATGCCTGGCTAATACGGCCTCTGCCTGCTGCCGGACGGCCTCTACCTGCCGGTGCCCAGCTGGCTGGACGAAGAGGTAGTGCCCCTGGAGCTGCCCGATGCGTCCGGCATTTACCAGCCCTGCTGCCTGGGCCAAGGCATCTGCTTGCTGCTCCAGAGTCTCTTCCTCCCTCTTGCCTTCTGGGCTGTCCAGATGCACAGCCCAGCTTAGCCCCCTTGGACCTTGGGCCCCAGGCCCACCTGTCCCTGCCAGGCCCATGACCCAGGGAACCAGTAAGAAGAGCCCAGCTAATTCCAGCCAGAGGCAGGTGGGCAGGCCCAGGGGGGCATCCAAGTGTGGCACTTTCTGCCTCCCCTTCGGCATCAGAGCAGTAAGCTGTAGACAGAGAGAAAAGACATGAAAGATAAAAGAGTTGATAACTGCAGTAATCTGAGAAGGAGACTGAGCCATCAATGTATAACTGGAAACTCCCAATCCACTCCTTTAAAATTTTTGTTCATGCTTATTCCTGACCAACAAATATAGGCCCCTGCGTGGAGTGTGGGCCTGTACTAACCCCAGTGGACACCTCCATCGCATGATGGGCCAATCTCCATCTCGCTAGATAATCATGTAGCATGTCCAGTTGCTAACAGGCACCATGCTGCTCTCTCCCATTATTGCCATGAAGAGGGCTCGAAAGTCTAACACTCCCACAAATTGCTGGCAGAATCATGACTGTTCTTTAGAAGAGACCCTTTTTCCTTCTTTAGAGGGGACAAAAATCATTCCCCAGCTGACTTCAGTCTAGTTGTTCTTAGGACTAACTCCCCCCGGTAGGGCCCCATTCCCACCTAGCTCTATGTGAGATTGAGCTCCTGGTTCGGCTAACCACCTTACACTCATTTTGTGCAAATGGAGAAAAGGACATGATTTTCACTGTGAGTTCTGTTGACTCTGAGCACAGACTGCAGACGTGTGGACCCCAAGAAAGAAGAAACGATGTCCTCCCAAACCCAGTGGAGCAAACAGAGGCTAGCCATGAACTCCAGGACCTGTAACCAAAAAAAACCTGGCCAATCATCAAGAATCATTTCCAGGGACCTCAAAAAGGTCATAGATTGAACAGAACTGGTACAGTAAGGCCAAATCAGTACAAAACCCAGAAACTCTACTTCTTGTCCTAACCACCATACCACCCTCCTTTCTTTTTTTCCTTAGAAGCCAAGAAGAGGGCTTGAACTGTAATCAAAAACCCCTCTTGAAAAAGTAGGTACTACTGCTTCCTAGAAGTCCAGATGGTAGCTAACTTCCTGATTTCTGGATGTCAGGGGAAGTAGGAGGAGGCAGGAGGAAAGGGAAATGGGGAAGACCTGAGAATGCAAACGAAACCAAAAGGCATAAACCTGAGAATGCAAACGAAACCGAAAGGCAACTGAGAGAGAAGAAATGACAGGAAAGCAGCACTGAAGGGCTACCCTTAGTTACTAGCTTAGCAGGTTGGCTTGGAAGTGAGGGCTCAGGCTCCAAACCTGGGACTGCCACCCATGGTTAGATAGAAGGGCCAAATTACAGCTAACTGGTGGGCAATCGTGGAGATAGAAACAAGTGAATGAGTGGCATGACATGTGTGTACCTATTGGTGGTTCACACACTCAAACGGATTTGACTAAAAACATTACAGAAAATTGGATGTTTTACCAAAATCTCTTTGGAAAGGTTGAAAGGAATTTATGCCACCTAACATTTCCTTCCAATATTCTGCATTCCACATCTCCTTCTCTCATTTCCTTTTATGTTCCCTGGCATATTCCCTCTCAAATTCCTCCTTGCCCTCCAACAGCCTCGATTGTCCCAAGATATTCAGATGACACTGCCAGTGTGCATAACTTATTAAGTAAAACAAATCTTGTTAGCCAGATAGTGACCCATTTAGGCAGGCTCCTTAAGTCCCAGTAGATGCCATAGACTTCCGTAAGAGAAACCAGACCACCACTTCCTTCCATCCCTTTGAAAGAGCAGTTCTCTAGCCCCCACGCCCAGACTTCCTGGAATGGAACCTTAAATACCCTGTGAAAGCAGATCTCAACCTCACTCAACTGCTACGTACATCTTTACAGCTCCTAGGTGCCAAGGAAGAAGAGGAACAATATAGACAGCCTGGAGTCCAAGATTCTGCTCCCAAGAGACTGTCCTCCTCTCACCCTCTACACCCTGTTCCTAGAAACCAGGCTGCGTACAGGAGTCAGTTTCATTGATTTCTCCCTTTCCGGCCTCGATTGCCCCGTGCAATGTGCTCCTCTCCGTAGAGGGACCCATACTGCACTGGAATCCCAGACGCCGGTGCCCCGTGTCCCTGGGCTCTCCCACGCCAGGACTAAAGAAGCACTCTGTGCAGTTTCCTCATCCTCGGACAGCAGTTCCCCCAGTTCTCGGCTACCCGGACATCCAATGCCCCGCCCCCACCGAGTTTCCAACTCACCGGTCGGGTCGCAGCTCCTGCCGCCGCGGATTCCCGGGAGCCTGAGGAACTAGAGACAGTAGCATCACTTCCGCCCGGCGGCGCAGCCAATCAGCAGTGGGTCCCCCGCCCGGGCCGACCGGCGGGGAGCAACCGGCGCTAGGGGCATCCTCCGCCGGGAGAGGAGCGTGCAGGTGTGGTGGGCTTCCCTCACAGGGCACCACCGTCCCGAGTTCTCGGGCATCTTCAAGAGGGGCCCTACCCAGAGTGACCGTCTTCTTCATGGCGTCCTCTGGAAAGGGCACCTCGGTTGCGACCTTTAAAAACATCTCATTCCTCTTCTCCCTCTGACCACCATTGCCCCGACTCTCCCTGGAACCTTTTTAAAGGGGCTCCTCCTTCTACTGGGTCTCCCTCCTTCTTGCCATCGCATCTCCCTGCGTTCCGGAAGAATCCACTTGTATTTTAGCGGGTTTCCGCACATCCGCGTCCGCTAGACGGTGCCAGCTCTGGCCGCCAGAGGGCGCCGTCGGGGGCGGCCGGTGCTACCGCGGCCTCTCCTATCCCGCCCGAGCCTCGCCCCCTCTGCTCCTGTCGCCGGAA